GTCTTGCAAAGAAAAGTTCTCGCTTTTCAAGCCGCCGAACGATGAAGCAAGACTGGAAGCATGGAGACGAGCCATTCCTCGTAAGGACCGCGTGCTCCAAAGAACGGATCGCGTTTGTGAGAAGCATTTCGCTTCCCGTTTTATCCTGAAGACGTGGTCTGCGGGAATTGACGGCCATGTGCTGATGTCTGGAACAAGAAGAGCGGGCCTTTCAAAAGACGCTGTGCCGTCAATTTTCGAAGGGGCGCCAAGCTACCTGTCCAGAAAGATTAAAAGCCCTCGAAAGCAAGTGAAACGGCTAGCGCTTCCTGTGGCTGCTTCGGTGAGTAGCTGTAACAACAATAGCAGCAACTTGCCAACGACAGCTAGCCACATAGAAGTCTCCCCAGCGGACAATATGGAAACGTCGTCTGACGACAGCTGTTGTGTGACTAAGACTGGTGAGAGTAACTCATGTGACTCAGTGTTCGAACGGCTTTTCAGTGCAGTATCTTGCGTTAGCCTGCCACAGCCATCATGGGCGGCGCATCTCATCAACTTAGCTGGAGTGAGGGACGTCGTGTTTATTGACGCTGCGGTTGCGCATAGGACAAGCGACGGATCGTCGGTGCTGTTTAACAGGAAGGCTCTGCATGTCAAAAGCAACATGGAAGTCCAAGTCTACATCTTAGACAAGTTGATCGACTCTGCTGCAATAGGGGTAAGTCCCTTCGCCACATCTGCCCTTGAAGTTGAATCCATGCTCAAAGTTGTTGACGGCATAGATGTGTGTAGGGGAGGGCCTAGTTTAAAGGACTTCCCTGATGTGTCCCCTGAATGTGCCTTTGTGGACTGTCAAAAAAGCTGGAGACACAACAAATGTCTCTTGGTGACACCTGGAGGTGCTATCTGTCGCCTGTGTTCGGGCCTCGTTGACACCCTTAGAATACATGCTGATCGCCGAGCTGCGCGAGCCAAGCAGGGAATACCTCTCAAGCGTTTCAGGTTATCGGTGGTGCCCACCCAACAACAGAAGCTTTCTGCTTTGCGGCATGCACGATCAGCTGTTCAGCGGTCACGAGCACGACTGGCCAAGCGCAACAAGCTGTTATTGGAGCAGTTGCAAGCAGCGATGAAAGAGCTAACAGATTTGCAGGAGCAAGATATCAAGGAGAAGCTAAAGGGATTTGATATACCGCCAGCACAGCTTCTTTTGATAGAAGAATGTGTATCAGTCGCAAGGTGCGCATCAAAAACAAGCAGGCGATACACAGACGATTGGATCTTGTTGTGCCTCTTGCTGCACATACGGAGCCCGGCCACCTACTCTTTCTTGAGAAACAACGATATACTGCCTTTGCCGTGCGTTACCACAGTGCGAAAGTACATAAGCATGGTTGGTCCGAAGTGCGGTTTCGACGACAACTTCTTCAAAGCCCTCAAGATAAAAGTTGCCGGAAAGACCGCATTCCAGCGGCGGGGAATCCTGATCTTGGACGAAATTCAAGTAAGAAAGGAAATGGCTGTCAACTCGCAGACAATGACGTACACTGGCCTTGTTGATCAAGGAGAGAAAAATAATCAGAGCAAGGAACTCGCAGATCATGGCCTCGTCTTTGCATTTGCTCCGTTTGGTGAAACCTACCTACAGCCAGTAGCCGTGTTTGCGTCAAAAGGACCAACTAAGGGACGCTGCTTTCGCAACTCCTGATCCAGTGCATCGTGCACCTAGAAAAGCCGGCTTGTTCGTAGACGGAGTAGTGTGTGATGGTGCATCCACCAATCGCGCGATGTGGAAGCAGCTCGGCATTACTGGTGCACTTGGCCACGTCCGTAATTCCTTTGAGCACCCAATGGACAGCTCTAGAAATGTTTATGTGCTGTCTGATACGCCTCACATTTTCAAGTGCATCAGAAACAGGCTACTGGACAAGAAGGTTCTTAAAAAGACGGCAAACTGATAAAATGGTCGTGCTACGATGCCCTGTACGTTGCAGACAACGAGAACAAAGCAGAGCTAAAGGTGTGCCCTAAAATAACATTCAACCACATCAACCCTTCCAAAATGCTGAGGATGAGGGTGAAGCTTGCCACGCAGATATTTAGCAACTCCGTAGCCAAAGGTATTCTTTTCTATGCAAAGAGAGGCGCGTCTCGTCTGACCAATGTTGAGCCGACGGTCGAGTTCACACTTTTTTTAAATGACCTGTTTGACGCTTTAAACCGACGTTTTCCAGCAGAAGGCTTAAAACTAGAAGGCAGAGATTTTTGTGTTTTAGAATCTGCATCCGCGTGGCTGGACTCATGGGAGCAACAGGTCGTGAGCGGGGAAATTCATAAGGACCTTTTTCTGACGCAGTCGACTGCAGAAGGCCTACGCGTAACCCTGAAATCAGTGCGGGAGCTGTCAATTTACCTGCTGAAGGACTGTGACTTCAAGTATGTATTGACGGCGAAGATGAACCAAGACCCGCTGGAGCGCTTCTTTGGAATAATCAGGCAAGCTGGTGGGCAAAATGAGCACCCGACGTTTCCCACGTTCCTACAGCTGTACCGTATGCTCAGCTTATATTCTTTGGTAAAACCACCAAAGTTTGGGAATTGCACGCTGCCTGATAAAAGACAAGCAGCCGTTGTGACTTTGTCTGATATCAGGGAAATATATAAAGGTTCTGCCGCGCAACGCACAGGAAAGTTGGATGAACTAAAGCGAAAGCTTGACGGGCTCATCGACGAAGGAAGCTGGGAGTGCGATGATGTCTTCGATTTCGACGACCCTGACACAGACGCAACAGTAGTTGACTGCATTGTCTACTACGTTACAGGTTTTGTGTCCAGAAAACTTCGCAATGGAACAACCTGTTCCATTTGCAAGAACGCTCTTCAAGGAAAACAAGGTCTCGCAAGCGTGCCCGAAGCTGATCTCGTGAACTGTAAAACCCGGGGCTGGCTCACGCATCCAAATATGCACCTCTTTGACTTTTTCAAGTACACCGAGGAACAGTTTGCCAAGTATGCAGGGGACAGGGATGCATACGACAAAACTACTGATGCCGTGTTGGAGAATTTCCACTTCACATTTCCTTGCGGTACGCACAAAGAAGAAATGCTTGCGAAGTTGCTACACTACTATATCTGCCTACGTATGCGTCAGTACTGTAGGCAATTGAAGAATAGACATGAAAAAAGAGCCACGACTTGCGAAAAATGGCAAAGCTTGTGTGAGCACGACCGCTACACGGACTCAATGCGACTTTCTTTGCTTATATGCGTTTCATGAACTTCTTTTATCGGACATATTGTGTGTCCTCTTGTGTGATCGATTCATGTCTGAAAATTCTAAAAGTCAGTAAATAAATGGTATATGTGTCCTGATGTGAAGTTATGCTACGTATTGTCACGTAGTGATGACGGCAGTCCGACGGTCAGGAAGAGAACCAAAACGCTTCTAAAGAAAGTGTTCATTAGGCGGACTAGCGCCAACTAAGAACCGTACAACTCGGGGCCGGCGACAGCAACAAACGTGCACGGCGGTCGTCGAAGAACAGAGTGCTTGGTGCTTTAGGCCGTGCTCAATTTAAAAGCCGTAAAAAACTTTCGAGATAAGCGCCCGCAAGTAACGACAAGAATGTGGAACAATGTCGAAGACACTGTTCCAGTTTCTTGTAGTTACTTTTAGGACATCTCGTATCGCGCACAAAAGTGATAAAGTCTTGTGGCGGTAACTTTCAACGCGAACGATCCATGGCCTATCCCCCGAGGTGCGTTGCACCATAGGTCAGAGGAACACGTACAAAACAAACAGTACAAAGCTTTCGCGGCAATATAAGCGGAATAGCAAGGAGAGATGCCCCTGGCTTTTGAACCAGTGGCGCCAGGTACAGCTGATGAAAAAACAGCACATACGTCACTAAAAAAAAACAAAAAAAAAACGTTAAGTTGTGTAATCATGCGATTGCGACAAAGCGTGGTCGCACCAGAACCTGTTCCACGATGCCATAGCTTAATGTCGATTCCAACGTACTGCTCAGGCCTCGGTTTACGTTATTAAGAAAAATTAATCAGTTATATGCAGTCTCCAGCCAAAGTGAACCGCACATCGCCAATCGTTCCTGGGCAACCCATTGTGAACAATAAGTCAACGACTAGGCCTCATAATACGTAAAAACCGCTCGTAGGTCCTTGACAGCGCTTCGGTTGCCCTCGGCAGAGCGGTTCTACACCGCGAACGGGACGCAAGCGCACGGCATGCGGGAGGCAGAGCCAAAGGGCATTAGAGTGCCTCGATGCGCGCGAGCGCGCGGGCATCAAGGCACCCTAAAGGGCATTAGTTTCGCGCGCCATCTGTTGGCGCTATCTGGAAGCAGAACCTTACCGCGGCGCGCCCAGCGAGCGCGCTCGCTCACCTAAGCTACTTCTTACACCGTGGTCCTAAGTGCGTCACCAGAAAAGACCCATGCGTTCTTCTATTCGAGAATAACGAATAATGCCCAGAAGAAAAAAAAAAAGAAATCTACTCAAGGGTATGCACCTGAGGATGTTGAACTATACGCGGAGGTCGTGAGCGCTATATAGGGGGTTGCCGACGCATGCATTATGCATGAGCAACCTCAATAATCTGCCCTGGGCGTTGTGGGTGAAAAAGGGAACATAATCGCGACTAAATAAAAAAAGATACGCATTGCGATAATACCCTCCGACTGACGCCATCCTACGTATTTACTATTCGGCTGCGCCCCTTGACGTAAACAGGATGCGCAGACAAACCAGCACCGTACAGGGCAAGAGAGAAAGTGAAAATTATTAATGACAAAATGTAGTTGCTGTTGACCTTAAAGGCACGCCGTAGTGAGAGAGAATGCTACGGCGAGAAAGAAATAAAGAAATCAGAGAAAAAAGGAGTTTCACTTTGCGGGACGTGGGCGGCCTATTTGCTGAGACTTTACGTCACGGAGCGGAATTGATGCGATAAAAGCCTTGCGTCCTACGAAGCATACAGCTATTTCACTCTGCTACATGTCACTATGTTCCGTTGTGTGCCAGGCGAGGAGAAAAAATTAAGAAAGCCACGGCGGCATTGCCCGAACTAGAAGAAGCAAATCATTGTTGTTGCAGGTGCATAATACGCCCTGCGGTGAGCTTGTGCCACAGGTCACGTGGCTAGTCGAGTCGACAACAAGGAGTGAGCCGGTTGAGGCAACGCACTCGAGTCTGTGACTTTGACTCTGAATGACCGGTGGACAACAAACGACGACCTGCACCTGGTTCCCCCTCTCGTTGCAAAGTAGTGACGGCATACCCCTGGGCAACGTGCCCTAGTTTATCACATTTATGTAATTCACTAAGTTATATACTGTTATATACTGCTTAACAACGGGCTCAATTGAATAACGCCTTCGCGAGCATCGGGACAAGCACAGCGCAAAGAAAATTGTATGCTCAAGATGCTCCCTTCACTGTCACCGTCGATTATCCGCATCGTGGTCTTACTGTGCCTGGCACTTTCTTGTACTGCTTTCAATACAACCGAAAGTGATGACCATACAAAAGTGAAAGCCGCCACGCCAAGCATTGAGGATTCCTTGCGAGGACTCATGAAGACCATCCTTGATCCTTCTAACCCGCTGGCCCAGAAAGTCCTCACGGCAGACTTGTCGTTCCCATGCAGCCTGGGCCTCTTGAGGCTGGTACGGGGCCTGAAGAACCTGGAACCATGGGCACTCAGAAGTAAGTCATACCTTTTTTTTAGCAGCTGTTCATCTTAATCTCCGCATCACTTAGTCGACACTATACGGCCCGAAATTACACAAAAAGTACTTTTAGCAGAATTGCTCGTAAAAGCTGATCTCAGCCAATTGTGATGATGAACATGTTACCAGCCATGACTATATTTAAATAGCGAATAGAATGAATAGAATGAAACTAATTGTGGTTTCGACTGCAAAAGCTTTTCAGTAACTTTCTCCCTTTGCGAGAAGGCAGCACTTTCATGACCTAATGAGCAATGCACTGATTTTGTACATATACATGAAAATGCTGTCTGGCTTCATTACTGATTTACAAGTTTATCAGCTGAGTACTAATGTTGTGGATTGGAGACGGTTCTGTCTTCACTTATCTCTACTCGCGGAACCTTTCAGATACAGTGTGTGCATGCGCGTGTATATGTGTGTGTGCGTGCATGCGCCCAGTAAAAACAGTTGACCAAAAACGCGTCGTGGTGGCCGTGGGATTTGTGCTTTTGTTTACCATATTTTAAATGCGTATCCTATTCGGCGCCGTCTCAACGAACAAACTGTGCGTCCATCCGTCCGTCTGTTTGACTTTCATATAGCACTAAATATATTTGTGGGGGTTTCATGTCCTAAAGCCATGGCACGAGAGACGCTGTAGTGGAAGGCTACGGAAATTCAGACTTCCTGTGGATCTTCAACTTGCTCGTAACAAAGGCACAAAGCTGTTTCGGTTCCATCTAAAACGCGGCCGTGATTTGAATCCGTGACTTTTGGGCCATAGTCGTGCGCCATAGCGACTATAATCGACCGCGGCGGCTTCTCACAAAAGACAATCACCGCTACAAGGGCATGCTTGAATAAAAGTAAATAAGTTTTCTCTTTGGTGGTTGTGTTTCATCTGGCACCCTCACGCTCCGAAAGCGAGTGGCTTCAATATGGTGCCTCTCCCCCCCCCCCCCCCGTAGTTCATCCCCGGTTGCAAAAGAAATTAACATAAGGGACCTATATGAATACGGCGTACCCACAGTGCAAAACAAATGCCGCAAGATTAAACTCTCTGCTAAGGTTTAGTTGAGGTTCGTGGAAGGGGCATAAATGCCCCCCACAGGGTAACATTTAAAGTCGGCAGGGGAAGCATACACATCGGGAAAAATCCAAACTTCGCGAAATTGTGATGCGACACGCATTTCATTAGTTGCGCGATGCGCGTGCCACGAGATGGCGTATGGAACGCTGTTACAGACAGAGAAGCGAACGAGTGCTACACAGACGATAAAATGGTGACTGTTGCTAGCGAGAATATAAAATATAAAAAAAAATCATGCAGATTCCAGCAGAAAGCGGCATCCTGCCGAAACGGCCACCAGCCACAATAAATCTCAACGCTTACGCATCGCTTGCTCCCATGAATTTTGGTGATGCTGAATTCACGGGACTTTTCATCGATGCTTGCTAGATGTTAAGCACAAGACAAGCTAGTTCATAAACGATCAATGTGCATTCTCGTACTGCGTCTTAAACTGCGTTAGGTCATAGTTCAAGCTTTCAAACACAAACGAAAAATTCGCTAACTTTGTCATTCACAATACCGTTGCTCTGATGACTTCCTAAACGGCAAATCTTGAGGCCTAAACTTTTTGGCAAAATAGAAGAACGTAAACTTTTCAATTCGTGCACACTATAGCGACATCTTTTTCTATCAGAAGGAAGTAAACTCAACAATATGAATAGTGCTCAGGGCAGGCTTTCAAAAATCATTATTATACGGCAACTGACTGGAAATGAATTAAAAGTACACTTACTAGATCTGGTTGAAAATTGCGATGTTTGGCATTTGAGCTATATCCTTCGGCTTCGTTCACGTGTGGCCATCGTTTTCTAGAAATGGAAGAGAAAGTTTTGCTGACAAAGGCCTCAAAAGTCAATAACACCCACACACACAGAAAAACAAAGCAAAGCCCTTTGATTGATATGTGGGGTTTAACGTCCCAAAACCACTATATGATTATGAGAGACGCCGTAGTGGAGGGCTCCGGAAATTTAGACCACCTGGGGTTCTTTAACGTGCACCCAAATCTGAGCACACGGGCCTACAACATTTCCGCCTCCATCGGAAATGCAGCCGCCGCAGCCGGGATTCGAACCCGCGCCCTGCGGGTCAGCAGCCGAGTACCTTAGCCACTAGACCACCGCGGCGGGGCAGCAAAGCCCTTTCTTGACCTCGAGATTTGAATTGAAAATATTAAGCTGAACCACCCAGCCCCACTTCAGTGGAAATCATACCTTTCGCTAGATCGGCCCGCTCCTTCTCTGGCCGTCGTCACCGATGCCGATAGCATTTTAGACAAGGCAATCACATCACACCATTAGTTGTGCCTTGTCCGCTCATACTCAACTGATATTGTCGCTTCGAGTCATTGCCTTTAATGAGCGAACTCCCTCAGTCAGTCACGTAGACAGTTTGCCTCCTTTTGGAACCCCTTGCAGAAAAAAAAGTACGGGCGTATATTTCAGAGCAATGTGTTCTGTGTCGATTTTGCCTGTCGTCATTTTTAGTCTATACTCGGCAGTTGGTTGTCGGAATATAACCGCCTATGTGCGTCACTGGCTTAGATCTGCCCAACAATATTTTTAAAATGTGCTTGAGAGAAGGACTGTCGCATAGAAAGGAATCCATTTGTATTTCAAGCACTTGAAAATAAAAATACTCGCCACAAGGTGTCGCCCACTTCTTCCAGCATGCTCAACATTTACAAAAATATTCTCATGGACACCACTTACAGCGAATATTCGCGTTGCGAAAGAACATCCTAGAACTATCTCAGTAATGTAAAAAACCAGTGGACGTATGTCAGACCAGGCTCTAGTAGGTGTCAAGATGGATATGTTTCGCCACGAAGGCAGATGACACCTAGCTGATAGCTCCATCTTTCGGTTGTGAAATACTGACGAAGAAATCACTGTGACGCTTTTTATATAAAGCCTTCGTCAAGCTTAAAGTCATAATATAGCGTCGCGACGTTGTTCTTCTCTATGTGCGGTGACGTCTACTGAGCGCACGCACGTACACATATCAGTAATTAATAAAATATTGTGATTCCATAAGTTAGCCTTCTTTCGAATATCTGCTGCAGCATGATTGTGTAAAGACGTTCTCACCTATTTTTTCCTATTCTTTTCTACACCTCCCACGCGGCCAGTTATTGACGCAAGTGGCAAGTACCCGACGGGCTTCCTTCATGGCACAACGGTGGACCTTGGCTCGTTCGACGAGTGCGTGGCGACCGTGGAGCGAGACCAGCACGGATATGTTAAGACCAAGGCCCACTATTGCATGGTGCAGATACGCTTAATGACGGACGAAACAGCCGTGAAACACCTTGTGCAAGCGGCTGCCATAGCCCACAAGAGGGTGAACCTCTTCTTCCCTATTCGTATGAATCATAAATACAGGCGCATTTGGAGGCAAGCAAGCGTGTTTTGGAAAACCTCAAAGTTTTAAGATAGCAAGACTACGATAACAAGGCTTTCAGATATATCGGCGTTGCCCACACTGAAAGTCATTTTTAAAAGCAGAGGTGAATATCTAAAGACGTAGCGTAAGTGAGACAGGTGTTGGCGGCATAGGGCGGTCACGGTATTCAAGGCAAGAGCTTCCCTGATCAGGATGCCGCAATAATATTTCTTTGAAGGTCAGTGTCTTTTTTATATAATGCATTGCCCTGATTCAGTGAAATCATGTAGCTAATTGCAACCATCGAGCAGTAGCAGCTGGCGAACGATGGTACATGGTCAAAACTCACATAAGATGAAGAGTCATGATTTACTTGCTTTAACAACTGCAAAAAACTGAGGCATTGTCAAACTTCTTTATTGTTTTAGAATTTATGAGTGGCGGAGATGACATAAAATTACATTCGACTGATGAACTTCTTGCTGTCCTTGAGGCTAGAGCTAATTGTCGTATAGATAAGCCATCAATGCGAACTCCTCAGGTTACGTTGTGTATCAGTGCCGTGCATGACATCATTTCTCGGGATACTGTATTCCATGTAGTCTTATTTTGAGAAGGTAATGTTCTCGTTATGAATCACGCTGATATTTCTCATCATTTTTATTTTTACAAAGATTTTGGTCATGGCTGTCCATACTGTTTAATGAGCATTTAATAGACGAGGCATCAGTAATCCGACTCATTCACAGGTGTCGAAGTTTCTCAGCTACTGGATTGACCCAGATGCTCCGGGGGCGAGATTGGGAATCTGCATTATTGATCAATGCAGCGAGCAAGACATTGAAGCTATTGCGAAAACACGTAAGTAAAAATAGTCGTTCTTATTATTTTGTTGTTTTAATAGTTTCATTTCCCATGATGCTTGCACGCATTAAAGCGCATTAAGTACATCGAAATATTTTGTTTGATCTAGCGATCAATACAGCTTTATTTATTCAATATATTTTGTTCAAGTTTACGAAGTACTCAACGGATCACCTAAAGGGCAATACATTATTGATTCAGAGAAGACGGGATAAGAAAACGGTGCCTTATTTCGCAAGAGTGTAGAAATAGTGCACAGAATTTAATAAAGCTATCACTTGGACGGTGGCCTGCCTTATTGTCATCAAGGAAGGAAAAATTTTTCGTGGTTAAAATTAGGCAATATAGAAGGTTACATTCAGTAAAAAAATCGCTTCATACTATAAAACAACCGAGTGAAATAAAAAGGCCGTGTGACTTGCTATCAGATTATGTGAAATAAACTTACATTAGGAGTCTGCGAATTCGTAGTGGGCATGAAACCCGCGTAGATTTCTGCAGCGGTTCTCGACCTTTGGCGGCTCCCCGGCTTGCTGGAAGGCCGATATCCAGTAGGGGCTGCTCGACCTGACCAACGTAAACTGGCCATCACTGCTTGAGGCTGCATCACTGTAACTGTGTATTATACATAGTAATATACCTGGTAATCCCCATAAGACAAGCTCCAAGGTGTCTCTAGAATTGTAACATATGCACATACCCCACCACGTTGGTCTATTGGTTATGGTGTTGGACTGCTGACCCGAAGGTCACGGTACCAAATCCCAGCTGCTGCGGCCGCATTTCCTATGGAGGCGGAAATGCTCCGAGCCCGTGTGCTTTGATTAGAGTGAAAGCTAAATCAACAGCTCCAAATACCAGGTGTGCAAACACGGCCACAATTATTAAGTCAGGATACTACACACACCTACTAAAAACTGAGGATGTACGCAACGGCGGGAAAGAAAGCACGAAAACTTATCCGCGCATGCCCAAGCAACTTGCTAAATTATCAATCTGGCACGCGTGGCGGTCTACGTGAAAATGACTAATACGGCATTTGATTTGCTTTTTATGAAAGCTAATTGACGATTGGCTCACGCATGCACTACCACTGTTACTCGGTCCTCGGCTGCTGATCCACAGGTGTCAGGATCAAATCCCGGCCTCGGTGGCTGCATTTTCGATGAAGGCGAAAATGCTATAGACCCGTGTGCTCAGATTTGGGTGCACGTTCAGGAACCCCAGGTGGTCAAAATTTCCCGAGCCCTCTACTACGGCAACTCTCATAATCATATGATGATTTAGGGGCGTTAAACCTCACATATCAATCACTTATTATTGCAACAGCAATTTTATGGACGCTCTTGGCTGGATTTTGCCGCTTACGTGGATGCCCACCATAATTCGCCGCACATGTATACGAACCTGTATATATGAAAACGCAAAAATGAAAACTAATCAACAAAAGATGTCTGCATGCAGAATCAAACGTCGGACTTCTCACTTGTGAGTACGTGACGTTAGCCATGCAGTGAACCACGGAAGAGCACCTCCTTAAACTTTAAAACGGCAAGCTATTTATATCTACCACTTACCGCTGACAATGTCAATCACGGGAGAATTATTGTGTTTTCATTATTACCAGCGAGATGGTGCAATGAGGGCGCGTCGCCATATTGTCATGATGTGGAGAACGCGCAATCATGCGTTCGTTTTCCATGCGTATATTGCCCCGATGAGGGGGGGGGGGAGTTAACGCTCACGCGTGCGTGCGCTAATCTCGCAGTGGGAAGAATCCTGCGCCTGGTGCTTTCACCAGAACGATTCTGTTGTAGGTACTGGGCACACAAAGGTCACTGCACTTGCTGCACAACTTCCGTTTGCGAAAAGGTAACGCTTTTCAGGCATCGATGTAATAACTCGGACGCCTATTCGCGTTCATCTGTACCTGTAGTATGTTTCATTCGTCATTTGTGCTTGAGCAACGTGGGGTACGTCTTAATCAGCCGGCCGTTATTCACCTGACATTCCTGTTTGTAGTTAGGACATTCATTGCGTGGTCTTTGCGGCAAAGTTGTGACTTTTTATAGTTATACACCCTACACTTTCGATGGCATCAATGTCTCTTATTTTCATTAACATTGTGTCTAACAAAAAACCAGCCCTTATACTTCTTTTCTTTATTCGATAAATGTGCTTTTCTTTCTTGCCGTATACATATTTAGGTAGTCTGTGGGGTAGGTCTAGCTTAGGCTCGGTGTGTAAGTCCTCGAGCCATGTGGTGCGCCGCCTCATCTCTACTGTCTGCAGTATGTCACCTCGTTGACATGGCCTGATACTGTGTGCGCGAGGTTAGAATCGCGGAACGATGCTTTATACCTTGTTCTTTAGTATTCTCGGCATCCGACACTCGTGGCTGGATGATCGTTTCGATAAGGTGGACGGACTGTCACCCTGAACAGTGGCCAAGTGCGAAAAGCATGAAAAGTATTGATTGAAAAAGTAAAATCGTAGCTCCATATTGCACCTCTGTGTGTATATTTGTAACAAAATTTTTGAATTCATGTAGCAGTAACCTTTTATGACCAGTCCCTGCAGATCAGGTGAAACGAACGACCACGATAGCGTTTGGACAGTACTTACCACTGTAATAACAGATCAACTATGAGAGCGTAAGAGGGTGTGCCAAACTGTTTTTGCAAGTGTAGTGCATATGGTGGCCGTACCATAAACCGAGCACCGTTTATGAATCCACCACGTGGGTAAGTATTGACGGGCTCATAAACTTTTTCAAACCTTGCCGCACTGAGTTTATTTATTAATATCGTAACTCGATTTAACGAAGTGATAACTTCCTTAAATCAGAAGGTTTGTAAAATGTAGAACAAGACTTTGTTCTTTCTTCGAAATTTCAAATAGTTATACAGGAACAACTGATGGCTCCGCGCGTGAAACGTCTGCGATGACAGCCCAGACATGAAGCCTCACATGACTGGGTGTACAGGCGCAACAGTGTTTTCAGAAGCTACGTCAAGTTCCCGATATACACATGATAGCTGGCACATTCTTGCTGAAATACAAGAGGGACGGGTACCATCAATGAAATGAATTGTTCTGTTTTTCCTTATTCCTTCGTTCATGGTACGCGTCTTTCTTAGGGCGAAGCTCGTTATGGTCTAGCGCAGTCGTCCCTCTGGCATAGCCCGCACAGCATATCCACAGACAGGCAGACAGAGAGGCAGAAAACGGACGGATGGACTCTCCGCTCCACTCATCATCATTCATTCCATGGATATGTCATGATTTGTGTGTGTGTGTGTGTGTGTGTGTGCGTGTGTGTGTGTGTGTGTGTGTGTGTATGCGTGTGTGCGTGTGTGTGTGTGTGTGTGTGTGTGTGTGTGTGTGTGTGTTTGTGTGTGTGTGTGTGTTTCAGTGAACGAATGCTGGAATTGTGTGAGTAGGCCGAGTAAGAAATTTGCGATGGGATGTTCTGTGTGCTGTGTCGAAGGAATCATGAAATAAAGAAACCCACCGCCGTATATTGTGGGAGAATTTACAGGGTCAACGCTTCATCTAGCGCCATTTGGCGCGTAAAGGTTCCACAGACTGTTAAGTTCGTTAGTCTGTCCAGCAGCGTGGCATAAAACTGTAGGTTGTCGAAAAAGCGCCTAGCTGTTTTACCGCAATGACTTAAGAGTACACATTCGAGGTATAGCTCATGTTAGTAAAAAAAATCAGCACTGAATCTCCACTCGTTTATTTTCTGAGAAACTTCTATTAAATCGAGTTGAGTGCCTTGATTGCTTATCAAATTTTAGTCAATGACAACATCGCAGACTACAGGCACCTGCTGGAGAATAGAAGTTTGCTCGTGAGATATCAAAATTCGCAAAGGGGGCTTCGTTTGAAATAGTTTGAAATGTGCACCTCCAATTTCTATAGTAGTGAAACCTTGGCGACACGTAAGTGAGTGGCTATGAGGTAGTAAGTTGATATTTACTAGCCTTCTTTGTTTACGAGTGCAGTAGTTAAAAAGTGAACTGTTAAAGTAATACTAGTGAGCAATACTGACTTTGTTGCGCTTTATTTTGCAGTGATAACAGACAGCCTAAACGTCACCGTGAGTGACTGCGTAAATGGCCAGCATCCACCAATGAGTTCAACACAAGCCGGAATAATGTAAGTTAACTCTCATATTACTACTTTCATTTTTTGCTGTTACTTAGGAATGTTCAACACTATTTCACATGTTGCAGGCATTTTACCATAGGCCTGAAGTTGACAGTTAATTAAAAAGACTAATAAGTATTTACCAATGGGGCATAAAGAGTTTTGGAAATTGTCATGCATGGGGATAAAAAGCAATTTATTCTGTAAGTTTCTCTTATTATTTTCAGATGTCTTCTCGCATGCATTGGCGCAATGATGTTTCTAAGCTCCTGTTTTCACTTCTATCTTTGGCTCAGGGATCATCCAGCAGATGAAGGTAAGAATATTAGTTTCTCTCATGGAGGGCACCTACTATCTCTACCAGTGCATTAAGACGTACCGGACTTATTCCATAGCGTAATAATCCAAATATTTGGTGTGAAAGCAATTACATGCAAAATTTGGATACACATTATAAATACTAACGACTACTTTCATGATAATGTGGTGAATAGGTAAGTGGTGCCTGGGTATCACAGTACTTCACTGCCGAACTCTTGAGAACAACGTGGGCTTCGTAAATTAGACCTAATATCGATGTTTTCCGAAAATCAAGAATACAGTGAATGCGTCCAGCTTTTCTAAGCAGTGCCTCAGCTTCCCTCGATTCTGTCTACAGACTTCCGTGTGCAGTAAGTGTTCCATTACCCTTACACAAATGGTACACATTAGCTACCTCTTCATAACTTTAAAGGTACCCGCAACTGGCCAGATTGGTGATTAGATTTCGGTGGGAAGGAAAATAGCGTGAATTATGGTGACTAGTGACAGCATACGTTTCGCGATCGGAGTATAATTTACATTTTTGAAATCATGTTCAAAACTAACCAAAACCAGCATGTCACGCCCCTAGCGCAAGATATATGAAGCACAAATATAAAGTCCTAAGAACTGGGCTTGGGTTACTTTAAGCCCACCAGAGTATGAGCTTAAACTTCGAACATGTATGTTATTGTTCATTTTTGTTTCTTTTTATGTGGCTTACAAAGTAAAAGAAGAGCATGAAAAGTGGCGTTGATTTCGTGGCCTCCACAGGGAAATAGGTGCAGTTGCGCATGCGGGCGGCGTATCCAGAGTACCTCGATTTCCGAAACGTTGGGCGCGTTGGAAGAAGCACGCTATCTTGTGTATGCGATCGCTGCGGCACGAGATGTGCCGTTGACCTACTGCTCTGCGGAGAATTGCTGCCACTTTACGCATGCCGCTGGTGGTAGTGATGGCGCTCCGTCGGAAGCGTCGACGCTACCACTGTCGTCCGTCGAAGCGTGTCTGTGGCGCTACTTGATAAAGGTCGAAATATTGCGCTCGAATGCGAGCCAAAATTCGTTCCTCTACTTCACTCAAGTAGTCGAACAATTACATATTGAAGCCATTAAAAAGCGGCCCCACGTCAACTACTATGCGTGAATTGTGGATCACGTGTAAACGCGTCCTTTCGTTTTTGAAGACTAGGTTTAGGTCAGCTTGGCTAAAGTAAAAAAAGAACATCCTGTGCGCGGCAAAAAGTACTTCTATGAGAAGTCCCGGAAAAGTGCTACAATTCTTGTAAAATAACTTAGCACGCTAGAAAGCAGAGATCGCGGGACTGCAGGCTTGACAAGCACACCATTACGTGTGTACTTAGGGCTTCGCTTTTTATCACTGCTGGCGTTACACTGGCGTATAATCGCTATCGCATTCGCATAGACTGCTTGCAGCACGTCTCTTTAAGACTGCATATTCACCGCAAAACGAAAAATTCTGATTGTAAATGTTCTGTGGTGTTTTTCGCGTTACCCTTCCGTAATTAGAAGCTCTGATTGGTAAGCGTTGTGTTGCCTTCAAGAAAACCGCTACCATAAATATTGGTGGTAGGTTCATTTAAGATTCGACAATGATCTAAAATGGCATTTATACATCCAAAAGTGTAACCATATAACCGGCTCAGCCAAAACTCCTAAGGTATCCATCATAGCTTCTCCAACCGCTATTACAGATCTTGATCTAGGACTACTGGCTTGTTCCAACTTTCATTACTTTCCTGCTCAAGAAAGTGCACTGATCTGTTGTTCTGTTTCATTCAAACTATTTCGTGGTATCTCATCGCTTATCTTAGACTGCTCAGTTCAATTGTTCGTGTTCCACGTAGGATAAGTGGAGAGCGTGGACTTTTTGGTGCACCTGCCTTTTCATGGTCACTACGCAATAAAAGCTGTATTGAGGTGACAACGCGGCACCATTGTTGTCCACCGTCGCTGGTGTCCGCATCGATCATCGCACAAAATTAGAAAACTCAGATAAAAAACACCAACGACATGTGGTGACATAGTGCAATTCGAAATGGGGTCAAACATTGTGCTTGCCCAGAATTCTCCCGCTGAGCCAGGCCGGAGCATGGGACTCCTTCGCAAATGTGCCTTAGGCAGGCTTGATGTCGGGAAAGGAATCGCGTTATTATGAGTAATAAAGCGTTTTAGAACAGCAAAGGAACAACCAGACGTCACACAATACAAATTGCGTAACGAGTGGATTATCCAATGCTTCATCACATTACAAAAAAATGTTCTTTATCACCTAATAACTGTTGTGCATAGCCACTTCCAGCGTGATTCTTCATTGTCGTCAGCCATTGAATGCAACACAAAATTGCACACAATTCGTTGGAAGTGCTTAGCGGATACCACACTTCTCTGAAGAATGACGAAGGGTAACACCGAGAATGCCGGCCAGCCTCACAAACATTCTGATTAATTATTTAAGGCGTGGTGGGTGCCCAGCAAGTGTGCTTCTAGAATTTACCAAAAGGGTGTTATAAAAGGCTTTGAAAAGCCGCTCTGCATGCTTTCGCAGTGATTGTGCTGCCCGATCCGCACAGGCCTGGCCAATGTTTTTTTCCTATAAGGCTTACTTTTTTATTATGGTAGTGTTCTTAAATCACGGCTGACGTTTCACATTTAATTCTTTCCGCTCTGTAGTGCATATTTGCACATTATCCTGGTGCCTTTTTTTTTACTTTCCTTTTGAATTCACAGAGTACCTTGTGATTTGCTGTATATGAACTGTCTCATGATTAACAGCTTTTTATATTTAATTTGTTTACATAATTATGCCCTACCCTTCTCAATTGTTTCATATTTGTCTGCTTTAACACCTAATTTATGTTGCCGTCTGTCTATACTGTTATGTTTATATTCGTTCTGTATACGTGTGTCAGCGCCCTGACCTAAAAGTTATACTGGATATGTTCGTTTTCTGACACGACGTACAAAGAGAGGTACATTGAGCCTTAGCTGTCCGAAAAAAGAAAATGTGGCAACTTGAACCTTCAAGACTGTGTATCCTCATTTACCGATAAATGCCTATTTGTTCGCAGGACAGCTTGTCCGTCTACTGACCTCATTCTCTGTGCTGAAGAACACAAAGCATATAGTCAACATGGATGAAAAAAGCTCGAGCGATATGTCCTTTGATTTTATGAACGGAATGCGTTTCTTAAGCATTGCTTGGATCATTCTAGGTCATGTTTTCGGAGGCATGACAGACGTTCTATGTAAGTTTTTTTCGTCTTTTTCTCTATAAAAATTGTATCGAAGAAAAAAATATGCTTCGCGATTTTAGAACGGGTATGTTTCCAGAGCTGCATGGCGAGTGGTTTTGGCTAACTTCAATAGAATGTTCAAAATCTCTCCGTGGAAATGCCAGCCGATATTTACTTTTTTTTTGAAAAATGCCGTACAGGCTTGGCAGTTTTGTCATTTATTCTGTATGAAAGTTCATGTTGCAATTGTCAAAGCGCCAATTGCCAAGATATACAACTCGTTAAATTACATCCAATATAAAGGCAATAGCACAAGGTAGTCTTAAACGCGCGCTAATTCAATTGCTGATTCATCTTAGGCCCCCTACTCCCCTCGCAGCCTCCCTGTCTCCCGATCAGTTGCAGTCCTTCAAAAACAGCAGCAGGGACAGGTGTGTAAGGTTTATTGACACCTCCATATTACAGATTCTTCCCGTTGCAGAAGCGAAACTTGACCAGCAAGTAAACGAAAACATGAAACAAGTAATTTTTTTTGAAGAACTTATTCTATACAGCAATGTATCGTTACGTATAGTACCATCACAAAAGTGACGAAGAGTACACCAAGAGGAAATGGACGTATGTCTTTCTGTGAGCTGCTCTCCCACAGCTGTTATTTGAATTTTAATGGTAATTGTTGCGTCGTCCTCGTGTTATGAAGTTTTCAAGCTTCAAAGGCTTCATCTACATTCTATCTGATCTGTCGTTCGATGAAATGCCGTAAAGCGTTAGATGCAACACTCTTTCCCTCCCACTTTGAAGCATGGCTATAACCCCAAAGGTCCGGAGGTCATCGTTTTCAGCAGCTGCTTCAGACGGTAATCGGTGCAGAACGGTCAGGGCAGAGTGTTGCTTGTGCTTGTTCTGTTACCAGTTGGGCATCCGGTGACTGTTGCATTGGGCATTGATGAGCCGGGCACAAGCTCTTCCGAAGCATTCGGTAACTCGGGTTCACTACGCTCATAGTTGCGGTCTGTCTCCAAAAATAACTTTTACAAGTGATCGGCATGAACGTACCGCACACAGCCTCAGACAAAAACGAGATACGTTCATAGCGACTTCACACATGTCACGTTTTTGGGAACCGTTTAACAACCTCACCTCGAACTGAGACAGTTTCACTCTCTCTACTTTGTCTTAAAGCTCACTCCTAACATTTGGTTGCAGCAATTTTAGCCTTGTCCTTAGTTTGCATCGCAGAAAGAGTTTAGCGGGCGTTTTACCCGTGAATGTAAGGGGTGTTGTATGGTGCGGGAACAAAATTTGTCGATCCCATGTTTTAGCGATTGGTTTTTCTCCTTCACTTCATTACCTAGAAGCTGTTTTATACGTGATTTTTTCGTAGTTTCTTGCTCACTCAGCCGCAAAATTTGATTGTGGGTGGTACGGTGGCGTCAGCGTGTATTTTCACCATTCACTCTTTAAAAAATTTCAAATCCTGCTTCAGTGGACTAAGATGTGTTATCGGTAACCACTTCAGCTGGAAGACCACGCGTTAAAAACAGAGAACGTACTAACTCAACGTGCTTTGTAGTTGTCGTTGAATGTTTATTTTCCCTCAACTCATTTTGAATACGCATCCACAGCGATCTTGAACATGTGCCCTTCCTTACCTGCGAAATTTAAAAGCACGCTTTCTCATAGAAATTCACTCAGTCGCCACTGACATAAAGGCGCTGGCAGTGTTGTCGAGAGTACCGACCTACATGTTTCACACTGGCGAACTACTTGTTATAGAGCATTATTGATGGCTGGCCATCGGACCACTGAACATGTTTGTTACTGCTTTCACTTTGGTGACACCCAAATGATGTTCATGCAAAAGAGCTAGAACCTCGGCTTGAAAACTTTAAGGTATAACAATCCTGTTGTTCCGAACAATACAGTCATTATCAGCAAGTACCAACCAACTAACGCAAAATGGTTGTAGCTCACTCTCATTTTGAATACTTTTTGGCTAATCATCTCATGTTATGTTTCAAACGCTCGTTAGGAGCTTGCCCCGGTCTGTTGCGCATTCAATGTCTTTGGCTGTAAGTGATAAGTCAGTAAGAGCAGAAAAGTAAAATATTTCTTCACCCAGCTCTTGAGTATCACGTAGCGGCTGGTGGGACAACGCGTCGGCATTAGCACTCGCTGTCCCCGGTTTAGGCATTATTACGTAGCGATGGTTAGCCAAGAAGATCAACCACTTATGTACTCTCGTGGTAGTCATCGCGCTCCTCTTTCTTTTTGAGCAGAACAACACTGTCGACCGCGATTACTACTAACATTAGATGGACTGACTCACACATTTTCAGTTATGCAACTTCATGCATTTTAAAGCCTAATATTGGCATATGCATGTTTCACAATTATCATCGCGAAATGTGCTGACATTTCGTATACGTTATTTTCCAGCGGGAAGAATAAACATGATGTACTTTTTCGATGATTGGGCTTCTACAATTTTACCAGCGGGCTTCCTGTCGGTGGACACATTTATGTTTCTCAGGTATGATAGCCTTTTCAGAGCAAAATCAATAGTAATGTCTGTAATGTAAGCCACATCTCGGCTAATTTTTTATGCTGAAAAGAGCTGCTGCATAATTAAGTACTGTTGGTTGGTGGCTTTGTGGGGTTGAATGTCCCAAACCACCATATTTATATGAGTGACGCTGTAGTGGACGATTCCGGAAATTTCGAGCACCTGGTGTTTTTTAACGCGCACCAAAATCTGAGCAGACGGGCCTACAGCATTTTCGTCTCCTTCGAAAACGCAGCCATCTAAGGCGGGATTTGATCCCATGACCTGTGAGTTAGTAGCCGAGTCTTGTAGCCACTAGACCACTGCGGCGGGGCTGAATAATTACTGTAAGTTCACCCTCACTCCTCCTAACTTTTTGTTTCTGTCACATTTTCCTCACTTGAATTGAAATATATTGACCTAGTGAGATAATTTCACCCTTCTCTCAAGTGTAACCGAATTGAAACTTGCTTCTCGTGCGAAATAAGCTCTTCAGAAAGTAAAATTGTGCGGCAAGGTTGCACACTTGTTCAGTTTGAGACGTCTCTGGACAAGTGAAGGAGCCTCCAGATGACACACGTATTCTTCTGTAAAGCGGATCCATGTCCGCTCATAGTGCGACACTCTAGCCGATGAAAGCCATAAGAAAATGAGTCGAAACTCGTTAGGCCTTGACATAAGTATAAGCTATGGCTGGCCTTTTTGGCATCGCATAAAAAATATGGCCGAAAGATCAGACGTGTATTAAAGAAAACGTGGGGTGAACATGTTACTGTAATCCAAAAAAAAAACATAGAAAATTACTACAAAAACGTGAAAGCCCAAAAACATGAAAGAGTCTGTTCACGAAGTGAGCATAAATAATTAACAAGTGTTGGGCACAGCTCTAACTGAATGCTTCAACGATCACTTCTTGAAAATGATGACGTCATCAGATAGCACGGTCAGTGGCACTGATCTTAGCAGATGTAGGCACAGCATGTTTCTCGAACTGGTTTACTACAACGCGATTGATCGTAATTTCTTAAGCCTAAAAAACAACAATGCTGCTGATGCAAAAGGTGTTCAAATTACACCGAAAAATTTGCAATTGACGTCATCGTAATTCACCTTGAATTTGTGTTTAATCTTGTACTATAAACTGCCGTTTTGAAGAAAACCAGGGTGTCAGTGATAATTAAAGGTTGCAATTGAATTATCTTGGGGAACTACAGGCCAATTTCTATTCCGTCTGCTTTTTCTAAAAGTTTAGAAAAGGTGATCTCTGCACGGATCAACAGTTTGTTTTAAGAATAACATTCTTTCTGGCTGTCAGCGTGGCATCCACTCGACCAGGTCAAATGAGACGAAGTTGTTATGTCAAAAAGAACTGATAATAGTAACACACACATACATGTACACTAACGTTAGGTATATTTATATATCGCCCCGCCGCGGTGGTCTAGTGGCTAAGGTACTCGGCTGCTGACCCGCAGGTCGCGGGATCGAATTCCGGTTGCGGCGGCTGCATTTCTGATGGAGGCGGAAATTTTGTAGGCCCGTGTGCTCAGATTTGGGTGCACGTTAAAGAACCCCAGGTGGTCGAAATTTCCGTAGCCCTCCACTACGGCGTCTCTCATAATCATATGGTGATTTTGGGACGTTAAACCCCACAAATTTATTCAATCAAATAGGTACATAGACTATAGCAAAGCATTCGAATGCTTAAATTATGAAATTTATTTAGAAAGCTAGGCGACTATGGTATCCGTGGCGTTGCAAACTTATTGTTTTGGTCATACCTTTTTGGGCTGACTGAGCGCGTTGCCATTGAAAATTTTGCTCCTTATATCGTGAAATAAAGCGCGAGTACCACAGGGTAGCGTATTGGGACCGACAATATTTATGTCTATGTAAAAAATGTCACTCAAATTGTTAAAATTGCACTCATTGTGCTATAGGTTGACAATACAAGTTTGTTTCTGGCCATGAACTTGGTGATGTGTTGCATAAATCTCGTAGTGTTCTTCCTAATCTGTTGGCATGGCTCGTAATAATGCGGTAACAATGAACAGCTCAAATCGAAGGTCACTATTTTTAGGGCTTAAGGTAGGTGGCAGTATTTCAGTGCAAAATTATTGTTGGATGGTGCTGCCTTTGATATTCTGTTGAAATGCATAATATTGAACATTACGTTTTCAGAAGTTATGAAATGAACCAACCCATCACGTTGAACTACTTCAAGTCGCTGTCATCTGCAGCTGGTGTAATCGCGCTGTCCACATTTTTTTTCTTAATAGGGTAAAATTTTTGATAAATTACGCCCTGTTTGAATCGAATCTTGACTATTGTGCGCTTGTGTTAGCCACCACCACAAAATGCAACATTCGTGCACTTCTTCAACTTCAAAAACGCGTGTTTCTGCAAATATCAAATGTAGACAATTTTATTCTATTGCGCCACTTTTTCAAACACTTGAGATATTACGTGTGACAACTCTCTACGAATACCAACTTCTATGCTCATTTTGTTTCGGCTCCGACAATATCAAATCCTTTTTAAATAATACGTCACGGCTTGAATACAAAAATAGCGACTCGCGCATTCGTAGTTACGACCTGTGGTCCGTATCATACAGGCGCACAAATTACCTTACGCAATCTCTCAGGCGTAGCCTACCTTTGATGCTAAATAAATTAGAATTGGAGGCGTTTATTCGAAATATTTTGATACGGAAATGATTTCGAGAATACTTTTGCAAGTATGAAAAGAGGGATAAACAAAACAGTTTTCACACTTTCGTATTTTGTGTTTTTAATGCTTTTCTCCCTCACTGTTTCGATAAACATGCCATTGTAATATACCATTATGAATCACAGCCATCTTTATACTACTCATTTTCTTTATGTTGTAACTACCACTGTTTTTATGTAGAGTAATTCATTAAGACATTTCCTTTTTCTAAATGCATTGGATTTGAGTTTTTATAACTGACGTGTTTGTAAGTATTATTCAAAATGTTCAATTTTTAATTCCATTAAGAATTCTGGAGTTAGTTATTTCCTGGATATATCCTGAAAACTTGTATGCGTGCTAATTTTGATGTTACTGCTTCTATGCTGCCAGGCACATTTCAATTGTATGATTTGACTTTTCACCTGACGGACTCCTAACAATTTTGTTAGGAAATAAATTTTTTTTATTCTGATTCTGATATGATGGTGCCGTGAACATTAAAATGCTTACGAGGGTTAGACTTTACATTTTTCCTGCAGACTGCACACATATCGTCCAAGAGTGTTACTGTTTCCAAATTGGTTTTAGGAACACGAAATAATAGTGGCTGTATCTCGCGTTATACAGAGCTGTAATGAGAATGTGAAAATTTAAAAGCATACTCTATTTGTACGGTTGCTAGAGACAACGTCGCAAGGGTGAACTTAATTGAATTATAAGTGTTCCTGTCGAATTAAACCCCTATTCAACGAGCTTGAAGCCACCTTAACCAACCATTCAAAGTTTGCCTATAATGAACTAAAATATAGTCATGCAGAACAATTAGTGTAAATGCTTCAGCTGAAAAGACAATTAGACATACTTAATCGATTCGGCTAGGCCATTTGTAACCGGGTTGCCAAAGCGTCACATGAACTCAATTTTCACATTGCATTTATTGTATGATTTCAGTGGCTTTCTTCTAATCAACGCTGTTTTCCATCAGAAAAGAAGTGCTTTCTTCATTGCACCCATCGCAGTGATACGTCGATACATCAGGTACGTTCTATGTCAGTGGTATCCTCTTTACGCTCCATGAAACAGCATTCTCTACAAAGGGTCGAACGCAATTTGATTCGTACGCGTAAAGTTTGGAGATGATCAGATTACAAGTTTCAGGAGGTGGTGTTCGCGGCAGCAAGCACCTAATTTTTTTTCTGCATGCACTCGTTGCCTTATAACTGTTTTTTCCTTACTTTTTAAATATTTGATTGCCGTTTAATGTCTGATTATATTAGAGAATAGTGTGTCTAGTTTCTTTTCAGGCATTGGCATTAAAAGCTTTACTATACGTGACACAAACTTCCTGTACTTCATTTGTTTAGAATCCTTAGATGGTGGTAGTATACACAAGTTTTATAGTTCGCATGGGAAGTATTTGAATTTATAGAAATGCGCTATTTAATAGTAGCTTATATTAATAGATATCGGTAATTAGTAATCAGCAGCAAGGTAATAGTGGGGAAAACAATATAACAAACATTATATATTATACGAACGGTTCACAAAGGATGAAAAATATAGTAAGTTAAATGGTTCCAATCTTATTGCTCTTCTGGTTTAGGTTTCATATTGGATGATTTGATGCAGTAAACTCTCCAGACAGTGTTCTCGTATCCGTTGCTAAGGGAAAGTTGAAAAAAAGAATCATGAATAAAAATCGTTCTCGGGAAGTCAAAGTAAATAGAATTGGTTCTGCTATGCTTTGGAAGGGCACAATACATCGCACTGTCCAAAGAAGACTGGAAACCAGAGGTAAATCAGAGTGACGCTTTTCGCCCCCCAAAACACGAGAAAGTCTTTGCCAAACGGAAATCTCGTTCAACAAAACGAATGAGCCATTGGTACTCCCTGTGTCATTTTTTATCCGCATTGGTACATCAAGTTTCCCTATTTTGCGGTGTTTGTACAGCAGGCGTATTGGTATGTCTAAACTCATAAAACACAAGATGAAGATTGCGAAGTATGGAGACGCCAACCTTTCTGTACATTCTCATGAGCACCTATTAAAGAACAGGAGGCCATGAACATTGTGGTAGAGTTTAAACAGAGTAGCAGCGAAAAATAATAGACAATTTGTCAGGGAGATAACTAAAGCTGATTTAAATAGATTTCGAAGTTAATCAATAGGCACAAGGCAGCCGACATCAAAAACTATAACATGGAGAGAACTAAGCAGGCTGTAAAAAGTGTCAGAAGCCTGAAATCGATGAAGGCAAACTTAGGCATAGTCAAAAATGTAATGTATGCATTAAGGGCCAAGGATGGCAATGTAATAACGAAATGAATGCGATAGTTGAGGTGGTGGAGGAGTTTTACAGAGAGCTGTACGTACAGAAGCCGAAACAACCAGGATGATGCCGTATGAATCAATAATAGCCAAGAAGAATTGGACATCCTACAAGTAATTACAGGAGAAGTAAGCAATCCTTTACAGGGAATGCAAAAAGGCAAAGCCCCTAGTGAGGAGGAGGAGGAAGGAACAAAAGGAAGAAGGCAGGGAGGTTAACCAGAAAGATATCTGGTTGGCTACCCCTGGTGAAAATAGTGTAACAATGAACCTGCTGAAAGGTGGGGAAGAAATTGTCTCAGAAAAACTGGCCACCTTATATACGAAGTGTCTCTTAGTGGGAAAGGTGCCAAAATCTTGAAACAATGCCAACATACTTTTAATTCATTATATAGAAATGAGACGTCAAGGACTTGAAAAACTGCAGACGGATTAGCTTACGGTCCGTTCTCTACAAGCTACTTACAAAAATAATAGCTACTAGAATTAAGGTGACACTTGAGTTCGATCAACCAAAGACCACGCAGAATTTCGTACAGGGTACGAAATTCTGCATTAGACCACATTAGAGCATTTTCATAATATCAATCGGATAATAGAGAAATGTGCAACAAACAACGAACCCCTATACATAGCTGTCATAGACTGCGAGACGGCGTTTGACTCAGTCGAGACATCAGCAGTCATGAAGGCAAAACAAAATGAGGGCATCGACAAACCCTACATAAACATACTGGAAGAAATCAACAGTGGATGCACAACCACCATATTTCTTTATAAAGAAAGTGAAAGCATCACAATAAAAAGGGTGCAAGGCAGAAATACAAAATCTCTCCAATACCATTCACTGCGTGTTCACAGGAAGTTTTTAGTGCCTTAGATTAAGAAGAGTAAGGGATAAGAGTTAATGGATAAAAACGTTACAAGGCTACATCACGCTGAAGGAGCATTAAGAGAGACAGCAAGAAAGACGTCGTGATTTTTTTATGTGGAGTGCGCTCTCGCTTGCCTTCTAGGCTTACGCTTAGCGTAGTGAAAATATATCTCAACTATCACCTCGTTTCCCTGTATGCTCTCCTGTAACAGTTTGGTGGAATGTGTGGGGTAGCAAAGCACGACGGAGCTCCGCAGTGGACGCCAAGTCGCCGCTTCCAACGTGTCTACCGACAGGGATGCTGCGTGGACAGCCATACCCGATGCACCAATGGCACCCACCTCTCTGGTGGTCGTTGTGACCTCTCCGCCTCACGCTTCTGGCAACTTTTCGGGCACTGACGGTGAGGATGTCGATGAGTGGCTTCAGCTCTCCAAGCTCATCAGTGAAAATCACAGGTGGGGTCTAATCATGATGCTAGCGAACGTTATCTTCTACTTGAAAGGAACGGCCAAGGCGTGGTTTAACAACAACGTGGAAGAGCTCACCAGCTGGCACGTCTCTAAGACGAAGTTGCACGAGTTGTTTGGCCAATCTGCCGAGCACGTGGAGTTCGCTATGAAAGAACTTAGTACCAGTGTCCAGACATATCCGGAGTCTCACCTGGCCTATATTCAAGATGTCTTGACCTTTTGCCGTAAAGTTGATAAAACTATGATAGAAGCTGAGAAGGTAGCACACGTACTCAAGTGTTTCGCTGATGATGTGTTTAACCTCCTTGTCTTTAGAGACTCTTCGTCAGTTCAAGATGTCATTAGAGGTACCGACACTTTCAAGAGACTAAAAGTTGTCACATTGTCCACTACTTCACCCGTTTTCATAAGACCACTGTGATGTCAACTTCTGAGGACCTCGTTTCAAGACCCAGCCAAATCCACCCTTTGCTGACATTACGAGAGTCTTCCAACGCAATATCGAATCAATGTCACTAGCACTCTTGAGAGCCCTGACGGCGAATCATCCTCAACTCACTATATGCCTAATACAGAGCATTTTGCGCCAAGCATGGGGCAAACGCGGGCTTTCAGGCGATCTGTTCTATGCACTAACCCGATGTCCATTCACCGACCTTGAACATCCGTCAGCACTATCACCGTCCAGCTCTTTGTACCCGAGATCCAAACGCATGGAGGACGCCTGACAACAGGTCAATTTGCTTCCGGTGCGAACAGGTGGAACACATTTAGCGTCATTGCCGAAGCACGTGGAGCCCGCTCTCACGCACAAGCCCGAACTTCATGAACTTCGATACAACAGCCTGCCCTTCTGGTCAAAAACCACTATGCCATGACGACTCCGCTCATAACGACATGTCCGCTACGACCAACGTCCAGCACATCCCCTCGCCTTCATTGCGACGTAGACTCTCCCGCTCACCTCTGTGGCCCCGTTCCCCATCCCCGTTTCTCGCGCGACGGTTTTCTTCCAGAAACTAACTGGTGCAGCTCCTGGAGATGACGCTGCTCTTACGAATTGCCCTCCAGTTCATCTGTTGACCCTCCCGACCAACCAGAACCTGATTGATATAAAAGTGGATGGTTTATCTGGTAAAGCTTTAGTCGACACTGGTGCCCAAATTTCTGTCATGAGCTCTCCCATTCGTGACCGCTTGCAGAAAATCTTGACTCCAGCCCCTTCATGCTGTGTTCGTGTTGCTGACGGCGGTTCAGGTGCCGCCATTGGTGTCTGCACAGCACGCGTTACTATAGCCGGCCATCAAACCTCCGTCTTTTTAACTGTTCTCAGCCACTGCACCGATGGTGTAATCTTCGCTCTAGACTTTTTGTCCACTCAATCAGTCCTCATTGGCGTTTCAGCTGGAACGGTGCAACTTGACCTGCCCTCTACGATTTATACGCCTAGCGAGCCCCAAGTTCTGTGCTCTGCTGAACATGTCCGTTTGTCACCGCAAACACTTACCTGCATTGCCGTAAGGCCGTCGCCACCTGTACCTGATGAAAACTACGTGATCACGCCCATAATATCTGTTCTTTTCACTCACAGTGTTATTTCTCCGCTCACTATTATATTGTTATGGGAGAACCGTGCTTCCATCTCTTTACTATACTTTGCTCTGGGTCCCCAAGTGGTTCCGTATGGAATAGCCCTTGCGAAGCTGACACCCTCGGACGACTGCATTATCTCAACTTTGTTCCCCAATGAAATGCGTCGCTCCAACTGCACGCCAGCCTGTTCTTCGACAGCAAGTCCATCTTCAAAAGTGGAAAAAATGATCGTGGTGAACCTTTTGCCACATAAAACTGACGCACTCCATCACGTCCTGGATTCGTACTCAGACTTATTCGACTCTCGTGATCGTCCGCTATGTCAAACCAGCGTTGTGAAGCACCACATTAACACTGGCGATGCGTCTCCGGCCCATCGACGGCCATACCAAGTCTCTCCTGCGGAGTGACAGATAATTCAAAAAGAAGTCGACAAGATGCTCGTCAAAGAGATAGTTGAGCCATCTTTTAGTCCATGGACTTCCCTTATTGTTCTTGTACAACAAAGAGCAACAGTTGGCGATTCTGTGTTGTATACCAACGTCTGAACCGGATCATAAATAAAGATGTCTAACCGCTACCGCACATTGACGACGCCCTGGATTACCTTTATGGAGCTAAGTAACTTTCCTCCATCGACCTTCGATGAGGGTACTGGAAAATTGCTGTTGACGACAAGAAATGCGAGAAGACAGCTTTTATGACCCCTGATGGTCTTTACCAGTTTAAGATGAGGCCGTTTGGATTATGAAATGCTCCAGCCACCTTC